AAATCAATCAATCAAACCTGTAAACAGAGTTCATATGTAAGAATTTTACTGAAATGTTAATAATTCCAGTTTTAGGAAGTTAAATAGTGAATCAAAGCAAAGGACAGAAACGCCTCGTACCGACTGGGGGATGGAGACGTTCCTATTGGGCGAGCAGCCGTCATGGAGGTAGATCTCCCTGGTCTTAGAGATGGACGTGGCCTTGTAGAACTCCACCAGCTTGTCTAGGGAGGTGAACTTCTCCGACCACAGGAAGTACTGGCCTTTGTTGTCTCTCAACACTTTGAAGTGCTGAACGTCACTCTCATGTCTGAGGGAAAAGATGGAGAATTGGAATTGGGAAAAAAATTCCAAATAGAAACTGCAGATTTACCAAAATTTAAATGTTCTTGAAATGTCCCAAAAATGTGGCGTAAATGTCACCGACAAGATCTGTGTGTAGTGTTTGGATTTTACTTTTGAAAACTACACAGTTTGACTCAGTGTCTGTCTTTTACACTCATAAAAAAAGAACATCATACATTAAATATCAAATCCAAATATTACACACACACACACATATATATATATATAACATTTATCTCCCCTCCCTCATCTGATTACCCCCCTCGACAACACAAAGAGCACAGCACAGTTCCACTTCTCAAGTATAGGAAGTAAAATAAGAATAAACATGCACAAAAACGAGGCTTCCCCTCAGCATTCAACCATCTGTCCTTGGTTTAAAAAGTGCCTTCAAGAATCCATTCCAGCAATGGAATCCATATTTGATAAAATACATCAGATTTGACCTCTAAATGTTAAATACTCCATGGGTTGAATGAATGCCATTCTGGGACTGTTGTGAGTTCAATAAATTCCTTGATTTTTGGGTTAACACCCTAATAGAAGAAATTATGAATCCAAAAACATCTCATTGTTAAAAACCAAATTTAACTTTGAAACAATGTCTTCATCTTGAATATGTTCACATGTCAATACAGTGTGTATAAAACAATTAATACACATAGCAGGCGTCTTTGGATGCATCTTATTTCTGAACTGAGGCGATGCAACCAGCTGAGCTCAGTGACTTTCTGGTCAAAACTTGTTCTTCTTGTTAAAACCCCTGAGTTTCCTCCACAGAGTCAAAGTGGTGCTCAGAAAAGGACGGGACAGAGTTTAATTTTCTAATTTGCATATCTCTGAACGCTCCCACCTGTCTGCCACCTCTTAACTTCGAGAGTTAAAAACAATCACCAAAAAGAAAACTGAGCTGAACCACCACTGACGCCCTGTCTCCTTCATGCCTGGATCTCTGGACTGTTTCCTCATCAGCATCGCTCTCTGCTGGTCAGTGCAGAAAACTACATCACTTCACTTGATGCCCTACCAGGCTCTTACTGGAGAGTTACAGTGACATTCAGATATGATACATGTTGGAGGTACTTATGTTCCATACTCTGCAATGAAATACAAAATTAAAATGCATTTTAATTGTAATTACTTAATTTCAAATTTGAACAATTCCATACACTGTTGGTTGTATTTATTCTTAAAGTAAAAATAAGTTAATTAAACTCTTGCAGTGAACAGAGATAAAAAATGAGAGACAGAAAAGTTGCTTTGCCGTTAAACTACACTGATCGTTTTCCCTGGTGGTCTGAGAGACTGCACTTTCAGATCAACATCACCTCACGTCTCTTCCGCTGTCTTGTTTATTCTGCCGCTGCTTCTGCAGTCTCCTGGTTATAAATAAACTCCTGCAGAGTTTGCAGCACATAAGTAAGAAACTAAAAGATGGTGACCTGAGTCAGTTTACTGTTTACATAGTGTGAGCAGAGTAGAAATATTGGTTCACATTTTTTCTGGTTAAATAATTTCACAGATCTCTTAAAACCACCAAGTTAATAATAATTCTCTCAAATATTCAATTCAATTTATTGACAACTAGAATGTCACTCAATGGAGCCTATTAGTCACCTCATATTAAATCAAGCTGCACTACATTTCACACACTAAACATCAGTCCTCTAAACATACCTGATCATTTGCATCAAGATAAATAACTTTTGGTGAAAATGTCGAAAAATAATTCCTGACTCCTGATCTGAACTAAAACTCAATGAGTTCTTTCCTGACCCATAACAAATCCTTCCACCAAGTTTTGTTAATCTCCATTTAGTAGTTTTTGTTATTAAATCTTGCTCCAAAACAAATTAGCATGCATACAAACTAACAAACAAATTGACATTGGTGAATACATCACCTCGTTGGAAGAGGTAAAAACTTCCCTGAAATGTTTGCACTGACAACTTTCACTGGGGTAATATGACAGCAGAAAACTTGACAGTTGACTGGAGTTATAAGAAGCATCTTCAATTGTATCAACATGTTTACTCACAATAAAGAACATAAGACTGTTTTACTGACTTGACAGAGATGGAGAAGTCTCCCGGGGAGCTCTGGGACCCTCGAATCACAAATTCCCCAACATCTTTGTGCTGCAGGAGATCCTCTGCTGCGTTACGAGTGGCGTTCTCCTGAAACCATCTGGAAACACAAACCATGAGGCTTCTGCTCATCTGCTGTTAACCTCACACACAGCTACAGCCAGAGGTGCTGCTTTTCTTTCTACCAAAATGTCATGAAATCTTCCTGTTCGTTAGATTTCAGTCCTGAACCTGATCTCTTTGTATTATCAAAAAGTCAGAATTGGTGAAAGTCAGACTAAACCATATTGACAAACAGTAAAAACAGTCTTTTGTAAAGCATTTTGTCAGCATTCTTGCTGTGAATTTTAAAATTATTGTCACTGTGATATTATTATTATAATTTTTTAACTTTACTGGCAATTCTGCCACATGACATAGACTGGATTGAAATGCCATTTCGCTGTAATTCCTGGTGAGAAAAAAAAAGTACACAGCAGTAGCAGCATTTACAGTAAAAAAAAAAAGACTTTTGTGAAATGACTACAAAAAGTGACTAGTGCATGTTCGAAAAGGAGTTCAGGTAGAAAACACATTTCAAGAAATGGTTTGCAAAGATAAAATCACAACCACTTCTGCTTTCAGTGGTGCATATCGTGGAAAACCCATGTGCAGGTTCAGTGTTTGTTAATGAGGATGACTGTGTCTTACTTCGGAATCTGCAAATCAAGGTAGTTTTGTGGTACGAATCCTTCCTGTCCGTTCAACTCTGCTTTATACCAATCATCTTGCGAGTTTAAAAGCTGATCAGAAAAAGAAAACGACAATAGGCCGAACATTAGTGATGAAATATTGAAGCCACAACATATATATTACTATTATTATATTCATACACTGACCTTAAGCAAATCACCCTTTTTAAAGCTGAGCTCATCTCGTGCTGTTGCAGCAAAATCATACTTTGCTTTTGCCTCCATGAGGACGGTCTCGAGAGTCAGAGAGGTTTGGAAAATGAAGAAATGAGGAGAACAGCGATCAGAGGGTCCACAGCAACTGTTTCTATGCAGAGAGAAAGAAAGCATACAGGAATATTTTAATCCAGTAAAAGGTTAAATTCTGCAGTTTATCCTGAAGTTAAGAGTTCTACTCCAAGGTCAAGCAGCATGGTGCTTCAAAATCTGATGTATGGAAGCAGAGACTGCTTTCTGTGAGGTTTCAATTTGCTAAAACGAGAGCAGCTCTATTTACCTAGATAGAGGTTTGAGGAAGGTCGCAGGTTTATCTTTAGGAAGTCACCAAAATGTACTCTTTGTTTTCTCAGAAAGATGTAAAGAAATGTCAAGTTTAAAGAACACTGAAAGCTTTATTTTGCCTGCAGAGTAATGATGTCATGTACTGTACAAACAGGAACTGATCTCCTAAACTCTCAAGCTTGATCGATTTTATTAATTCTAAACGTTATTTAGAGAGTATAGAATCTTCCATTCAGATGAATATATCTTTAGAGGTTTTAAAGCAACGGAACAGACAACAAGACAATTGAGAGGTGATAATTATTAGATTCATTGATAAGTCATAAAGGAGCAGTAAATTGTTACTCATGAGAAGCTGGAACAAGAACTATTTTGCATTTTCTGATGAATGAATTGATTATCAAAAGTAGCTTTTTCGTTTAATTAGCTCAATGCTTAACCAACTAATCTTTAAGGCTTTTACCAAAATAAGATAAAAATAAATGCACTTTGGTCTCTGGAGGGTTAAAATGAGCTTTTGATGGACCAAGCAATTAAAACAAAGAAAACAATCATCAGACTTATCGATAACGAAAATATTCATTAGTTGCAGCCCTAAAGACTAAAAGACAGTGGCATATTAAAATTGCATTGAGGCATTGAGCTGATCTGAATCATTTCTTATTGAAATGGTTTATTTTCCTTTTTAGTGGCTACAGTTAAAGCATGTTGTTTTTAACTCAACTCAACCATTAAAACTTCAGTTGCTTGTATTCACAGTATGTGGTTGCATGTGACACAACCACACTTGTCTGACTGAAGGACATGGAGATGACATGTGGGAAGTAAAGCAAATTCAGCTATTTTTAAATTAGGAAGAGACATGCACGCCACTTCCCCTTTTACTGTTTATCTACATGGCAGAGTTACAGAGCAGTGCAGTTAACAGCAGCACAGTGACACATGGATGAAATGTCAAGTTCCCATTATAACTGTTTCTGACATGTAAATTGGTTGATTTTCCCACAGATGTAAAAACCTTCACTCTGTTTGTGGTTAGGTTACGAAGGATGTGGTGAGCCCTCTTAAAAAAAGAAAACGCACTACCTTTGCTGATGCAGCTGTAGAGCGCCTTGCAAAATTACAACGAACAAGTACTGTGGAGATCTGAAGAGATGTAAAATATCCTCTATTATTCCTTTCTACCCAAACCTCCATTAATAAAAAGAATCTACACACAGAAAGACCAATACACTCACTTATAAAAGTAGACTCCTGTAACACCTCATATTTGGCTAAAATAAATGAATAAACAGCTGTAATAGCGAGAAGTCATCGAGAAATGGTGGAAATGGCTGAAATGAATTGATCAGTTTGGAAATCTTAGCAGTGACAATTGTCAAGTAAAAGTGATGAATCAACAGTTTGATGCTAAATGTAGAACAGGTCTGAAGTTGGGTAGTCGTCATGATTTTTGAGCCCACCGGTGTGATTCACAAAGTTTAATATAGGTATGAGTTCATTAGTTTGAAGCTAGACCACCACCAGGATGTTTGCTATGCTCAACACCCGCTAAAAATAAGAAACTGCAGCTGAAACTTTTTCTACACCGTTGTGCTAATGCTAATGATGTTTGTTTTCGATTATTAGCACTAGACTGTAACAGCTCTGCCTTCCGAAGTTACAGGTGCAGAGCCTGTTCTAAATCTGTCAGTCTTCTTGTCCTGTGTTAATGTTCCGGAGCTACTTCAGAATTATTCCATGTCATTAGTGAGTCCTCCTCCAACAGTTCTACAATATCCGGTCACTTTTTGTTGTTTGCGTGCTAGACGTTGTGTGCAGAGCTTTTCATTAACAGTCTATGGCGCAGAGGGAAGTTAGAAAACTTTGTATTCATCCTACCTGGTTTATCTACAAAGATTTTATCGTCAACTTTAGTAACCTTAGTTTGAAAAAAACTTGATTTATTTGTGTGTTACCGATTGAAGTGTTTCTTTTTTCAAGTTAGTTGAAAAACTGTTTTCTTTTTTCAGTGTTGTTAATCTGACAGTAAAGGATCCAAATCAACCTGATGGAAGTCTAAGAATCAAAACTGTCAATATGACTTTTTGGTTATTTACAGCAGTTGATCGCTCTTTATTGCCCCTTATTCAACACACGTCACCTTAATCTTGATATGAAAAGTTTAATTTGCTTACGGTTTCAAATTTAGACACTCAATTTGTCTTCATAGCTGTAAAAGAAAACTCCTTTTTTCGTATTCCTGTCTCATCTGCTGATAGAGGGGACATCGAGGACAGTTTTGGTGCATAAAGCTGTTCTTTCTTTTTATCTTATCAGCTCAAACTCACACCTCCCATCCTTGTGTCAACACTTAATGATTGATGTTGCACAGCCTTAAAGCAGCTTCTAGCTACAAGAGGACTCTCTGAAGAGTGGAAGAGCAGGAAGTGATGGTCAATTCATTAACCGTGACGAGCCAAACTGTTTCACCACACGAATGAAACCACTGGACCTTGTGGATGGTTTGGTTCAGAAATCACGTTGACTCCTGATTTAGGTTTATCCGGGAACAGATTTTTGATCCTTTAAGAAGAAGGACCAGTTAAATGCAGAGGTGCAGATAACATCCATTAGCTTATATTCAGGAAATTGTAAAACATGTTGGGTTTTCACATCAAATACCAGTGAATGTGACAGGTTTTTGTGTGTTTTTAGAAAACTATAAACATTTAAAGACCAGATGGTTAATCTTGACATAATTGTGATTGAAGTAGCACTCATTGGCTTTGGAAAGAACCACTATATCACTGACTAAACTCTGGTCAGAATTTCAGCAGCACCAGTAGTGTTCCTGAGCTTGCAACCAACTTATGTCTCAGCCCTATAGTGCTTGTGAAATTACAGATAATCAGAAAGTTAGATACTTTCGACATAAAAGACAGCAACTAACAATTAATTTCACTACTGATTAACNTTGAGGGGCTGGAACTTGGATCTTTTTGCTTAATAAAATGAGCTGAAAACAATTAATGTTTTTTTAATCTATACAGACTACCGGATATTATGTATTTAACGGTGTATTAATGGTGTACAGTGTTTTGAATGCATTTTTGTCTTCACACAATCTGAGGATATCTAGAGGTAATATCAACATGCAGTATTTTTCTCAGGGGTGATATCCGATAACCTGAGCTGTATGAAGTGTTGCTTGCAGTGGTGCATCTGCACTGTTTCAGGTGGTTTCTCATTTTGCAAATGCAAAAAATTGCATAAAGCAACATTTTGCAAACTATTGAGAAGCATCAGAAACCAGAGACATTTTCTTTTACTTCAGTTAACTAAGCAACCCTGCTATTACTTAATTACTTACTGAATTAAAGTTAAATTTCTGTTTGTGAGCAAAATGTACCTAAAAAATCGAGACAGTCAGTTATAAACAAAAGAAATGAAAGATGACCTCATAGATCGTCTGTGCAGCATTTTCAATAGCATTACGTTTAATTGTTAGGTGACCTCTAATTGTTATTATGACAAAAGGAGGAAGTCAGGTAAAGTAGTATAAAGAGTCCCAGTCCATGTAAGGAGGAGGTTGAGGTGGCTGGGTCGACACCATTGTTCATTTATTAAGTGGAACAGTCTTTGTTGTCTCCATGACCGTTCAACGTTAATCGAGGAGGTAATTGGTATCATTGTGACCAACGTTTGGTAGGCCTGCAACCATTGGATTGTTATTTCAGGGGACATCATGGGTTTTATCAGAGGGTGGAAACAAACAACACCCGAACGTCCAGGTTGGGGAACTTAAGCGATACCAAAAATAAAAAGTAGGGCTGGTCGAAATGGCAAAACAATTATATCAAGATACAGTATTCACATTGGTTGATTGATAATTGTCAAGATAAATGTCACACTATTATTTTAAGTTTAAAGACTGATTTTTTCTCCTGAGGGAAGGTTGTGGTTTTAAACTCTTCTTCATGCTAAACAGCAAAACATTACAAATCTGAGGCACATCAGTTATCTATT